TGAGGAGTGGGGTCGTGTCCAAGCCGCGATGGTAGATCCCGCTCGCTCATGCGACGTGGACCTGCGGGTAGCCCAAGCGGGTACACACAAAGAGACAGCTTTGAGTTAATGCATCAGTGAACGCACAAAAGCGCCGTGGCGCGATATTAAATGACAACTCGTGCACATACGCGAAGCACATTTGTCGAGAATAGAACGCTCTTTTCTGGATTGCCAAAGTGTTCGAGGTATGGCAGTTGCGAGATACGCCTACATCGACACTTTGAAAGCAGCGAAAATGTCAGGGTTGGGAAAGTTATTTTATAAAAGTTACACATTACCGATTTTAAAAAGCAAGTCCATTACCACATTATCGTTATTCAAGAAGCAACGAGACATTACAAAACAATTTTCGTTATCTATTGTTAACATTATTACAAAGATAAAAAATGAAACATAAAATTTGCATTTTTAAATATTTTTTTTATACTAAAATATAACAAAAGTGATATAATGACCTTACAAGTAATATTACTTACCAATCCTGTTAATATGGCTAAGTGTAAGACTATTAATTTATGACCATGACATGCTAAGCTACACTGAGCAAGAGTTTGCATTTGCATTATATTATTTTATATAAGGTGATCTCCAAATATTACAAACTGTTTTCTCGAAAATCATATATATTTAGACAAAATAATTCCGATTGTGTGTTATTAAATGTCGACATAATTAGTCAACATCCAAAAGTGATACTTATTTAGTTATTAATTCGATTAGTAGAAAACATTATATTAGAATTAGTAGAAGAAAACTCACACCTTATATAGACATAATAATTTATATATATAGACATAAATTAAATAATATTTATAAACATATATTACACACACATTGCATGCATGTGTTTGCAATTATATGACTAGTTTTAGTGTAATCAAGTGGATTAAAAATAAGAACAAATGTATAATACTTAAAAAAAAAGAATTATCCTATTGCAATTGTCGCAATTTATAATTAGCATTCTTTATACGCATTAAAATTATGTGTAAAACCACATGTATTGCTATGTTACTATTCTAAGAACAATGAAACTAGCCAAAATATATAAAAATTGTATTAATATATCATGTTGAAATAAAAATATACACGTATTTTATGCTTTGCAAAATGAGACACTTGATTTCACTTTTGCATGAAGCAAAGCTAGAAATTATAAAAAATCAATATATCATAAATTATATACATTAATTGATGCATTCATATCAAAAACTGATCAAATTAGTGTGTTTCTTTTGGTTCTTGAAAATCCTAATTTTATTTAAAAGGAAAAAGAAAATAAACGTTTATATCTTTTTCTATTTTTTTTATGATAAAGCGAGAATTGCATTATTCGAGAAATTTTATATTATTATTTTAGAGCATATATTTTTTTTATATGTACAATCCCTCATATAAAAGTAACTTGATCAGTTTTTTTTACTCGATCGCTTTTTTATCAATCATTATGTGCTGCAAAATAACGAGTTGCGAGAATGATTATACTTTTGTTGGGACACCAGGATCGCGTTATAAAGAAACATAATATATAAAAAGGATCTAAACACGGAGATCTAAAAAATTGTGCGACATTGATCCGCCTGGGAATGTCGATTTTCCATTTATTTTGTTCAGGCAAGAGAGTGCTCGAAGAAAGAAAAATTCGACTAAATGCACACTGAATGCATAAACACACGTGATGGTAGCTTACGCATTGAGCTGATCTCGCGAAAGCTCCAACCATCCCTCTCCGAATCGGACTCTCGTCGCGAAACATCCAATTCGCTCCGATATTCTCGTTTTCCGACTCCCCGTCCTTGTCGTTTCTCGTCGCTCGTTTCGTTTCCACGCGACAATTCAAGCGCGCTTCCTCTCAACCGATTGCAGCTCGTGCGCAGCTTTGCGCGAAATCTCTTCCTCAACGTCCAATCGGACCTCTGTATTTCAGCGATATCACTCGAATTCCTGCGATTGTTTCGTTCGAGCGATTCTCTTTTCGATCTCAATTCTTCAAGCGACAGATGACGATTCCGTCGCATCTCCTCTCTGTTCTCGGAATCTGATTTATCACCGAAAAATTTGCTGAATCTAGTTTGAACTTTAGAGAAACTTCGAGCTGAAATAGAATTCGTCGAGTTGTCTTGCTTCGATTCCTTCTTCGATTTCAGCTCTTCAAGAGAGCGTGGACGGTACCATCGGGTCTTCTCCTTAGGACACAATCTGTTGCAGGATGTATGAAGTGAATCAATATCTTTACTAAGATCTTTAGAGAGTCGATCGGCAGAATCAGATGAGAAATTGCTGTTTAGGATACTCTCACAGCTGCGCGTCAATTTGGCGGACTCGCCGCGAAGACTCTCTTCTTTCTCACAAATAGCAGCGCCGATCAGATTATTCTCGCTGTTACAGAGCGATTTGGCAATTCGCACCCGCAGAATATTCAGTTTGTTATCTCCAGAACACGCGCTCGCGTGACATGACGGAAGCATCGATAGGCTTTTCGAGGAGTTGGAATAAATCTTAGCAGAAGAATGACAGATATCGATGAGTAGGCAAGATTTGTGTCGTTCCCTGCAATATTGACGGGTTTGCGTTTTGACGTCTTCCGAGAACGGAGGATCTTCGACAACATTTGAGAGCGGTAGTATAATGGAAGATGAAGGAGAAGGCGGAGAAGAGGGCGACGAAGAGTCGGAAACTTGCTTCGTTCTTCGGGAGCTATTATCTATATTGATCAACGATGATAATTTCTCCCGAGACGCCGCTGATTGATGTGCCAAGTTCGAGCCACCGGACGTTATGTTATTCTCACTTTTCGAAGAAGCGAGAAGAACCTGCTTTACACTTCGCTCCGGTATAAACAAAGGGGCATCGGTGTTATCCAGATTTGAAAACTGCTCGAGTTGTTCCGCGATCACTCGCTGTTGTTCCAAAGAGAGCTTGGAACCGCTATCTTTGATATTAATCTTTTCGATCGGCGTACTTTCAGCATCAATGAAAACCTGAGATTTATCATTATCGGTCATCATATTATTATCTTCAATCTCCGCAGGAGTCGCATCCTTCTCGGTGCACACTTGATCTTTGCTATTGTTACTCGATGTATCTTCTATCGAGGCTACCAAATCTAATCCTCCTTTAGTATCAATCGCGATTTGATCCTTATGATCCATTAAAGGAATCCTGGCAATGGTGACTCGCTTAGCACCATGATGATAACATTCCTCGATCGCAAGATCATTTTTGTCGGTTTCAACGTCAACCAAAATGACGCGTTTCCCGATTGGGCGGATTCGAGAGCTCTTATTTGCCGAGTTTTTTGTCAAGTTCGAATCCGATTTGTATTCCTTCTGCACAATCGGCAGAGATCGATGCAAATATCGTTCGCTATCCTTTTCCGACAATATGATGTTCGGTTCCGACACAAACTGACGGGAATCGGTCAATTTGGTGGACTTGAACTTGATCAAACCGGCATCACCAAGTTTAGAGAAGTGTTTCGCTAATGCCGCGACTCTACCACATCCTAGACGCACCTCTTCCGGAGACTTCCAGCATTTTTCCGTCTTGGACTCGTCACTGGACACGTCGCTATTCAGCCCGCTCAGATCGAGATGCAACTCTGGCATTACAGTGTACATCTTGGGGGTGGAAATTCCTTCCTCGACATCTCCATCGACTCTGCTCGATGCGTAATCATCGTTAATCGTGGAACTGGACTCGTCCGCGCAATCTTCGGAGTTGGAAACATCATCCAACACTTTGTCCTTGCGTTGTTCGTCGACGTTTAATATACATCTTGCGTTATTATTCGCGCTTTCAAGGTGCGAGGGGTCTTCTAACTTAAATTCCGAAGTTGGTTCGATCGTAGCGATGGGTAACACCGATCTATTCGCAGGCAATGAGCGAGTCTCGATTGACGAAACGTCGAGATTGCTACATGTACCTATCTCAAAATTAGATCGTGGAATATTTAAAGTATGTTGACTATTGCAATCTACCTTTATATGCTTCTGAGAATCTCCAAGATTAGAGTTGCGATCAATTTTATTACAGCGCTCGCATTTATCACTCGATTCTATCTGGACTCTATATTCTGCGAGATTACCGTCATCGGTTTGATCAATGTAAGGTATAGCATCAAAGACATTTCTATCAAAAGTCAGCGGATAGTCATTCTTATAGTCATCTGCAGCTTCTGCGTATTCCCGCGGCGGAGCTGTAATTCTTACGAACGGATTTAAAGTGTTCGTTGAATAATTTAAACTACTCGTCGCGACTTTGTCTAATTCGGTATTATTCTCTTCCTCCTCTACGATTTTATCGTCACTCGCATCACTCTCGTCCTGATATATAACGGACGATATATCATTGTCGCTCGTAACGGAGATCAGAGGACAGGGCATACGATTTCTCGGGAAATGCGCGGAGGAGACAGTGGGAGTGGAAGGACGTGGGACGTGTTCTCTCTCGTCGACGGGATATGCGCCTCTTTGACGGAGAACGGAAAACGGATCCTGCCGCATGGAGCGATACTCGTCGAAATCATCGACTCGTGGAAAACCTTGATCGATCTGATTACGGTAAACGGATGCCTCGACAATGCGTCGAGATGGAATCGCACCTGGTTGATTAAAATCCTGACAACATGCCACCTGCTGCGGGAAGGACAATAAGTCGCCCATCGAGTGTGATGTGGCTTGCTGACCACCAACTGCCGTCTCCGTTGCTCCTATCGCCGGCTCTAAGAGCTCGGACCTCGGCCGGTTCTTATGCGCTGCACGAAACAAGTGGTTAGTCAAGCGTTAGTAAAGCGGGCTCTTTTCGAGCAAAGCGAAGCGAAAGGCGTTATTCTGGCGGAGCAAATATTCGGATTAGGAAACGCCTGCTATAGCAATTTTGTAGAAAATAGAATCTTGTCGACACGTGTGCTTGAAGCGAAAGGGTGACAAGCTCGATCTCGTTAGATAATTTATTTTAGTTTTAAATTTTTATTTCTACTTATAATAGATTCTTGTAATTGCATTATAATTTTGAATTGCGTAAAACAAGTTTCTCACGCAATAACTTTCTTAAAATTCTTTATTATTAATACACAAATAAATTATTTATTAAGAAAAAAGGTAGGGAACTTGAGTTAATATTTTATAACATAATATACTATAGATTATGTATGTGGATATATAAATATAATTCTTTTCTTTACATAAACTTTATAGATTGAAACTGATCAGACAGAATCAGAAAATAAGATTTCAATCATTTCTTCCTTTTTCCATAGCTAAATTAGCTTCGCAGATTGTAGCGTTAGTTATTAATCTTTTGCACTTACCTCTTGTCATCACAGGAGAAGGTTGAGATAACAACGTTGCGAGTCCGTGATATATAGCGCCTTGTTTCGCGACTTCTAATGTCACGATCGGACCGGTACGCACAAGATACTCGGCAGCCCTGTGAAATTTTATAATATAAGATTGAAACATTTAAAAGATTTATTACATTTTTTAACATTAAATCACACAGTCTCTGCCGTACTTTTCTTGCGTAATCCCGACCAGACTTTGTCCATCCACCTTGAGCAATTGATCGCCTGCCGTCAATCTACCATCCTGAAAAAATAAATAAACAAAAATAAATTATAAATCTCTTAATAAAGTAAAGATATTTTTCACATCATAATGTCTAGCTGTTTGTCAAAAGTCTAAATACAAAACACGCGTTTTGAATATTGTATGTATATCGAGTAGTTTTTTCGAATAAATAACAATTACTTACAGCATCAGCAGCACCACCAGCAACAACGCTTTTGATGTAGATACCTAATCGATCCTGTCCAGCGCCCTGCATAACAAAATTTAAAAAAATCATATATAATTATAATAAATAGATATACAAACAAACACACGCGGGAGGGATCAAGGTTACGTACTTTCGCCGCAACAATGCTCAAACCCATGCCGTTAGTACTTTTATGCAGTTTAATGACATGTATTTCTGGTTGAGCATGATTTTGGTTGGCATGGCTGGTGTAACCGCCGGATCTGTTGCTCATCGCGCTAGGGCTACGCAACTACAAAATATAAAAAAAAAGGCTGTGTGTTGGTATATGAAAACATTTTTATATACAATTCTTATCTAAATTGGAAAAATTTAATATATGTGCATAAAGATGACAATTTTTTTTTCATCGGTTTATAAAGACTATGATTTACTTGTTAATTAAGCTTTAAAAAAAAGCCGCACGTATAGATATTATTTTATGTGAAATTATAATAATAAAAAAACTTACATTGTTGTGATGGTCTATCATGTAAATGGTCCAATAGCCACTGCTGGTAGGTTGAGCTGCCATGCGACATAAACCATCTCGTTGTAGAGGTGCTAGAAACTCCGCTAGTCCTGGTGGAACGCCTCTTATTACTTCGCAACTGTAACCATCCTCGGGAAGTAATAACGCCAATCCTAGGATAGGTTCCTCTTCCAGTCTTATTTCACGACCGTCTGCACGCGCAAGTGTATCTGCGACACTCTCTGCCACCTATGACAAAGATTGATTATATATAATAACATCTTTACAATTTTATAATCAATAACAAAGACCAAAATTATAGTATTCTCAAGTATACTCACTCTCACAACGTTCTCGATCAATTCGGCAGGTAACCTAGGTTCGTCCGCAGCTGGTTGATACTTTTGCAGTAACGCTCTGACCTGCAGAGAATTTAATTTGAAACAAGTTGAGCTCAATGTGGCTAGTTCCTCGGCATTGTATTTGGGAGCCTGTAAGAGATGAGTCGCCTGCATAATTGTCGCCAAGTGGCACTGACTAGCAAGTTCCAGCCCCTGCCTCTCGGCCCAAGTCTCTAAAGCGTTCAGCCTGGCTTTGAGCCTGCGTCCGAACCATCTAACGCACAGATTTCCGTTAGAGACGAGAGTGTTGAAAGCCGTAGCGTTGATCGCATGAAACAAATGGCTAAACAATTGTATCGTCAACGCGGCGTTCACGCGGCATCGTCGCAGTAATGCCATCGTATTCGAGAAGATCTGTAACACCCCGGCCTCTTTCGCCGGTTCGTCTGCATCCGCCATGAACTGCGTCATCGCCGGCGTTAGCTCCAGCGTAACGCAACGCACCAACGAACCGAAAGCCGTGTGCACCGCGTCCGCCAAGATGTCCTGCGCCCGCGTGGAAAATGCGCCCACATGCCGGTCGCTCTTTAGCATATGTAACAGCTCCGAGCCATTTGCCAGCCAAAAGGCCAAAGACGAGGCGTCCATGTAACGTTCCTAGAAAAATGCAATCTTCATTGAAAAACTCACGTATATTACATATCTATTTGTGTTATGGAATCGTGCATTCTCGGATGTAAGTCTAAACCACGTTAATATGTTTGTAAGCAGGTTATTTTTAAGTTTGTTGCTAAGAAAATTATTAATATTGAAATATACCTGGATAACACGTTGAATCATCGTAGCGACGTTAGCCAGCATGACGGTGAGTCGGTGCGCTCTCTCCGTAGGTTGCAGTTCCGGTCTATAATGCGTGCTGGCGCGATACCTCGCGCTTAGATAAAGAGTGTAAGTGGGCGCCAGCTTAAACTGCGGCGCCGAAGGTTCCACGTCGGTGATGACAGCATGAAGGAATGTCTCCTCTGTCTCTTCAAGAAACTCCAAAACAGCCGGCAAGATCGGATCCGTGCCTCGCGGCTGCCGATCGTACTGTGAAAGTCTGTCAACAATTGATATAACATAATTTTCTTCTTCGGATTCAAATTTCCAAAAAATTAACAAATTTAAAAAAACTAATTTATGTACACATATGGTTTGCTTCTAACACAGACTTTACGATTATAATTGTTTGATAAAATTCTTCGCATTGGTATGATCCAACAATTTCCAAGTATCTTTTCTTAGTCAAAGTCAGAAAGCGTCGAAAACCGTTGTAGATTCGCATTTCGCTACCTGTTGCCATCTCTGCTACTGCTAAGACTGGCGGTCTCCACGTTTCCATCTAGATCGAATGTGGTCTCGTAATTGTGCGTGGGCTCTGGCGGGTGCGTGGGACTACGAGGACTACGTGCTGCGACGGCGGACTTCGAAGGGATCGCACTCTCTTGGATCTGGTTCGGGGTTTGACCGCCGCCGTTCAGTGTCCCGGATCCCGGGTGAAACTTTTCCGAGCTGACATCCTGACTGGTTGCGTCCGGCGAGCGTCTATCGTGACGCGCGCGAAGCAAAGATTTGCGACGGAAAAAGCAAACATCGAAGCAAAAATCGAGCAAAATAAATATCACTCAACAAAGTGGCAAAAGAAAATATGGTAAAAAACTATCGGGAAATGGATGTTACAGTTCTCCAAAAATCTTAAAATTAAAAAAAATATTAATAAAAATTATAATATACATAAAATCCACGTCGATATAGCAATTATGATAATTGATGATTATAATGAGCTAAACATGTGTGCATCTAAAATGCATTAAAAACGCATAATGGCTAAATTGTACGACGAATGCAGCAAAAGATTCGTGCATCCACCTCTATTCTCATCTAATTACAGCAACGGAGTATAAAAATACAAATTTTAAACTTACCGATCATAGGCATAGTCAATCTGCTTGTTGGAATCATGTCTCTGTCTAATGCGCTCCTCCGGCGCCGGGTCAATGAATCGAAAAGTATGCATTCTGCCAAATTTGATGATAGCTCCATTCTGTAAAAATGTACACAACATTAAAGCTTACGATCAAATTATTTCTCGTCGATTGACACAACTCGAAGCATAAATTTGAACGTTATTTTCTACATTTATTATTTACACTTAATTATAGAACCATTTACATTTAATTAAACAACTAATCACACAACAATCATGGAAATAAATATATAAATACAAAAGACAGATGCGAGCGAATTCCATCGCAAGAAACGGGCAACACACCTGCAATATGGTGGTCTGATGTATCCTCTGATTATTGACATATGTGTGCGCGTCTCTGGAGCACGGCGTAAGGGTGACGATGTTCTCGGTGAAGGCTATCACGCAATGCCTGGGCATCACCGTCGGTCCTGGTAGCGTCAACGTCTGTGCCTGCACCGCTTGGGGCCCAATGGGTCTCTCCGACCCTACTTCCGTGACATTTGGCTGCAATCGATGTCGCACTCCAGCGCCGTTAGGGATATCGCTGCCATCGGGATTAAGCTCCAGAAGGAATGGCAACCTTTCGTCTTCGTACCTACAAAAATTAAGAGATTCAAGTTTTATAACTGTCAAGATATTTATAGTCTCTCTCGAGGAAATTGAACACTTGCTATGACAGTTCTTTGACAATTTTTTGATCATTCAGATATATTTGTTTAAAATTCCAAATAAAAGGAATATTTTAAAGATTTTTTTGGTCAACTTTCTAAAAATAAGTTTTTTTTTTATTGTATGTGTTTTCTAATGTTATTCACTCATACGAAGGAAAAACGTAGAGACAAAAAAAATTACAAAAAAATTTCGTACCTGTGATCCAACTCGTTCCATTTTCCGGCGGGTTTCTTTTTACGTTTCCGCGGCATGTAATCCGCAGGCCTCCTCCTCACATGAAACATAATGGACCCTGCAATAAAAATACGTGCGTTTTAATTAAGCAATGTTATCGCACAACAAAACAATGCTATATACATTTTATCTACATAAATAATAAATTATAAGGACACACAATCATGAGTTCAGTATATAAAGTATATAAACATAAAAGATCATAAACACTATAGAGCGTAAATACATTTACAACAGCTTGTTCATAGAAGTAGCGATTACTTCTTGCAAAAACTATTTCACGCACACAAAATTCACGCGAAAGGGACACTTGTTTTAAAAATCAAATAAATAAATACAGCGCTTTTACGAAAAATAAATAGGAATAATAAATAAATGCGATAAAGGACATCGTGGCTTTTATCAGGTGTGAAAATGCAACGATGTGTGGGAAGAGAAAAAAAAAAAGGGGGAGCTTCATCAAAGAATCGTCATACGAATGCGCATCGTTAAATTCAGAGATGCGTGGCATATATAATAATAATCGCGCATGAGAAGCTTCGCGGTAAATCGTCGAATTAGTATGATGGACGAGAGATAGTGATCGTGCATTTTTCTCGCGTTAAAATATTACCGTTCCCCTTACGCACAACGCACGGTAGACGCACGTGTGCTTTCAAAGCACGGTAACTTCTCACGGAAGAGGACGGAAAGGGAGAACGACTCTCGGCTTCTCGGGTCAGCGAGCCGCACAGTCATTGCACCCAGTCGTCGTTTTCATCAGCGTTTCCCTCGTCCTTGCTTTTGCAAACGATGTCGTTTCTTTACTTTCGGTTAGGGTGATACATTCGCGAGTTAAGAGACTTCAGATGATCTTGGAGTCTGAGGACTTTTGAGTTGCAAAAAATGCCTGCTACGTTTGACAATATTGGTAGAAGTCGACGCTTGTAATAGACTCTCGTGCAGGTGAATTTCGTAAACTTTGGATAATTTTGGATTCGCCAGCAATCTAGATTAGAGTATTTAAATTTTTTTCCCGAAGACACTCACCCAACATCACCTCCACTTTGCCGCTTCGGCGTGGCTTGAATGGCCAAAGCCCGATCATATCTTCATATCTATGAAGTCCGATAACACTTCTAGATCAATGATTCACAAGCGGATAATAACGCGAATATATTTAAGAAAGGTCTCTCAAAACACGTACGATTTAACATGTCTTGCAACAAACTACGCCTGTTTGTACATCGATAGAACAGAAATATATTTTCGTGGTCTTAGAAGCCAATTTTCGAAAATTAAAAATGAAATACTTATTAATAAAATGTCAAAAATATCGGGAAACATATACATATAAAAATTACGTATGTAAAGAAAAGTTGGTCATAATCGGAATTAAAATTAGATTAAAGAACGATAAGCGAAAATGATCAGTTTAATAGGCCAACCATATTTTCTCTCGAGGATAAATATACATATCTTTCATGCTAATTTTTTTCATTATGTATGTACAGCTATATACAAATCGACCAGTGTGTATTTTTATCGATGCTATAAAAATGAAAGTTCTGGGAACAACGTTTTGTCATTAAATTGCACCTGTTGCAATTTCTACGTAGCTTTAACCTTTTCAGTTCACTCGATAGCAAATGCCAACGTGATATTGTAATGCGAAAGATTTTTAGATACCGTACACGCAGTCAATTTGATATACATGCCACGAGCGTAAAGTAAAGATCATTGTCAATATATTGAAAATCGCGACAATCTTGATATGTTTAAAAGTACAATAAATAAAGATTGACACTTTTTTTAAAATTTCTTTGGATAATTAAAATAATTTCTTTGAATGTTAAATCGCGTGTATATATATATATATATATATATATATATATATATATAATTTCAAACTTGATATGTAACATATTATTTTTACCGAATCACCGACAGAAAAATTTATTTACTTTATTAATAAAAAAAGGCGTTGGACGAAGAAATAAAAACTACAAATGTAAATTTTAATCAAATAGAAAGCAAGACGCGCGAAGCGCGGATGGGAGAGAAGAGTAAAAACTTCAATAAATTAATTAAGTAATAAGTTCTAAATATAGGCTTACTGCGAATTAAATAATTAATTATAATTAGATTAATTATAGATTAATTACAGAAAATGTATTATAGATTAATACATTTTCTTTTATCCATACAACTTGTGGATATTATGAAATATTTCAACGAGAATGAACCAATAAATCGCGCACTCGAATGGAAAAGAGAGGCACTTTCGATTTTATCGCGAACACGATCGAATGCGACAATTGCAATTATATTCGCGGGTATAACGAGACGAACCTAATGAATCTTTCAATGTTCGTGACGCGGGAGGCGATACTGTGTGTACGCGGCTCGCCCGTTAAGACAACACTGGGCCGTATGTTGTGTTCTTCTTGTTACTTTCGTCCCGTACAACGTATGTACACAGGATGTATGTATATAGAAACTAGAATACGCTAGAACGCACGTGAGATCGGCGCAAGCGTGTTCACGAGTCTCCCTTATGTTATATATACACGGAACTATAGCAGCACTTCTCCATTTACATTCGTCGTGAAATTATTTATTAGCTTTTCGAGATGGATTCGTGCAAGAGTTAATTTTTAATCGAAAATAGGGACAGGAAGAGGCGCCTTACACAGAGGATGATATCGGATTTTTTTTTACGATTATTACGTTCGATCTCATAGAAAGATTCGTGCAACAGTTATTTTTTTATCGTAATTTTTTTATCGACAAACGGGCAACAAATGTAAACACTAGAAGATTAATTTTTTAAATTAGCAAGCAGTGACCTTTCCCTCTTTTTTTTTTTTTTGCTACACTATATATTCGTATCAATCTACATTTATCAAAGCTTTGCTATTTTTTCGATATCTATGATACTAGAAACGTTTTATTTTGAATGATAAAACGTTCCGCATGATTCCGTTGATGTGATTTTATCTTCATAAACCTACAGAATTTGCAATATTATTATTATAATAATATTAATATTATTATTATAAATGATGGAATATAATATTAATATTATGATGGAATATAATATTAATATTATGATGGAGTATAATATTAATATTATTATTATAAATGATGGAATTCTCATTAATCATTTTTGAGATCAATTCATCGATAAATATGTATATAATGTACTCCGAAATTAATCATCCCACAAATGTTATCAGGTAGAGATCAACATGTTTCCTTAATCGTCGTAGAAAAGGCCATAATAATTATAAATCAGTTTCATCCTATACAGAAGTAATTAATTAGTTGACTTTATCGGAAAATGTGGCCGAGAGACGAGATTCTTAAGAATTTTTATCTTAAGTTTTTTTTTTCTTTTTCAATCATATTAATCCAAATGCGATGTATCCCATTTTTGTAACATTATCTAATAATTATCTTATTATATTGTATTAAATATGTAAATATAAAAAAGCAAATTTTCATATATATTAATATGAGACACTTTCAGATAAATGAAAGTAGTAATCGTGATTCAATTAAAATTCTTTCTATTACACTTGCAGTCTTAGTCTTTGTACTCGGAAACAGTTACTCATCATCGTCACAATCGCGATCAAGAAGCTACGAAATTTCGCTTGGGGGGGGGGGGAAGGGGAAATAGGGAAAACGATCGGAGGATCGGCGCACGCGATTATTGCCGGAAAGGAGAAACTACCGAAGGTATCTTTAGAGAGACAAAGGTGGCACGCTAGGTTCTCGAATGTAGGTCGGCATATAACGCAGGTCGTTCCGGCGTTTTATTGATTTTTCCGCGCACCCAATTCCAGTCGCGAATCTACACGTACGTACGTACATATGTATATCGCTTCGCGATGCGTATGCGAGGCACGCAAGAGGTCACGAGAGATCGCCGATGTTGCTTTCATCCCTTGACCCTTCCTTCAACCCTATCGGTTTTCGAATGCGATACAAGAGTCGCTTGATCCCGGAAGAGGGAAAGCGAAATATTCAATTTTTCTCGATTACAGATAAAATTTCGTATTTTTCTCTTTTCCTTTTAAAATTATCATATCTTTTATACTTGTATATTTGCACGATAAAAATGTGCTCTAGTTTTATATCGAGATATTTTACATCGCGGCGATATCGAGCGATACATTCGACATTCTTTTCAAATGAATTTCCGTATGATTTAATGCAATTATCTCTTCGGATATAATAAACTTTTTTATATGAAATATTTAATATCGTCTTTAAAAGCATCGATTTCTTTTTAATACAATGTAAGAGATGCATGCAAACAAGACAAGAGGCAAGCCTTGACAATTATCGAAAAATCCTATAATGCGTATAAAAAGTTTGCGTACACGATGGAACATAAGATTTTTTTGCTTCTAGCAATCTCTTCTCAATATAAGAAGCGATAAAAAGTATATTACAAGAGAACATATCTTACAAAAGTTAAATAAAGAGTAAACAGAAAAAATTACATTGCCGCTAAATAATTTTTAAAAAATATCTTCGATATTTACAATACGAATGTTATTTATATAAATAATACGCTTCGATAAATTTGTTTAAATTGGGTCGATAAAACATACGGAATCACACTTAAAAAAGAAAGTTCAGCTTATGCGTCATGCATGATTCTGTCAGCTTTAATAAGAGCTTACGTCGTATTCCCCAATCCATCATGTCGACCGCTTTATTTATTAAACTTCGTGGTCCCTTTGTCGATTATCGCTTCCGCTGCTGAAATATTGGTCCCCTTCGTTGTTCCTTTCCTTTGTTGTTCCGTGGAAACTTGGAAACTTCCTGGTCCCTCGCAAGCTGGTTAAGCGAATCTTATCAACTAGTTGCGAAGTCGATGGGCGTTGAGGTATATAATCAAATCTCTTCAGCATCAACTGCTGCTAATAGCATTGACGAGCTTGAAATCGCGATTAGATCCAAGTTTACTCTCGTCCTATCTTCATCAAGAAGCTCGATAATGTTTGCTTTATATCCCGGTGACATTACCCAGACTTAAATGTAAAAATAAGAACACACTTGTTCTCGCTCTCTTCGCTTCCTATTTTTAATAATTACACAACCGGAAGAATAATGAACTTATTTAGCTAATAGTTAAACAAATATCGATGTCAAAACTTTCTAGATGTGATACTAATGATGACACACTTCAGGAAAATGCGTTCATAGGTACGATCGTTGATAGTCACATAAACGTGTCGCAGTAATATACAAGGACGATCCGCGCTGATGGTCAAGATCTTGCTTCAGATATAACGACACAACTCTATAAAACAGCTCCCGCTGTTTCTCGCAAATACTGCGAATAAATTGCAATATATTTATAGATCGTGCGATTTATCAAAGAAATCGTATTGACGATCTCGGATAAAGAAATTGTTAGTACTGGTGTGCAATGATAAGTCAATAGTATGTCATCGATCACAGTCGACGATGTCGTTCGATGTAGAAACATTTTTTAAATAAATAAAATGTGTCACGCAATTAATATATATATATATATATGTATATATAAATTAATATGTATACAGAAGGCAACACATACGCCTTCGGCTTTGAACTTTCACATATTTTTACGTAAAAGATGTGCTGGAACAATTATAATTTCTTCGTGAATAAGATCGTTCGAGCAAATTTTGGTCCAAAATCACTGGCAATTCGAGATCGCGGCAATTATTGCGCTACGAACGATGACGTTGAAATGAGGGCAAAGAGAACGACGAGGCGGCGACGACGGCGCCCGCGCACTGGTACCGGTACAAACGACAATGAACCAACTGAGGCGATGTTGGCATCGGCTGTTCTCCTTACACCACCCTTACATCCCCCTTCGTCCATTCTCAATCCTTCGATTTGTCTCTCTCTTTCTCCCTTTTCATTGCTCCTTTTGAATATTTTCCAGCTGATATAAACCTTCTGTGCGTACGACGTATAATCGTATAAATATAATTTTTTCTTTGACGCAGCCTCTTTTATCTTTTTAGCCTTCTTTTATGTCCAACTTTTATTCAATTCTCATAAATTCTGACGTCAATCTTTTTAATGAATTTATTCCTCCTATTTTATCATATCAACTTTTTTATAGTTTCTTTCTTCCTCCGCGTCTGTTTATATTACTTTTCTATCGTTTTCTTTCATCATAGATATATTTAATCCTCCCACGTAAAGTTTTTTAAACATTAGTGATTATTTTTATGATATATGTTTAATTTATATTTAATTTTTCAATGAAATTTATGTTTAATACAATTTTGAGTTTTTCTCTATAGAGTGTTGTCTAATTTATTATTTTCATATATAATAGAAATGTTCCAAAATTTATATTCACATTTTATGTAACAAAGTTTCTTATTTAATTTGTGACATTAATGTTTTTTTAATAATTGCTTTTTAAATTAAAATTATATTTAAATAAACAACACTACTTAAAGTTCTAATTGGCAATTAAGTTAATGATTTTTGTTATGTACTAGCAAAACTAAAGTTCATGACAAGTTTTTCCTTTTCTTTGTATCACTCTTTATATAATATACCATGCTGAAGATTTAAAACCGTACCATTTCTCCAAAAAATCTTACAGTATAAAGATAAGCAGAGTAAGTTATTATTGTTCGCAGACTCTATATAGAATTAGTGTTGCAATATTAACTCTGATTATATTAAATTTTGGATAAAAGATTAAAAGACGAAAAATTTAATGGTTTTTTTTTCTAAATGTATAAAAATAAATTTCAATATATAGCCTCAAGGAGTTAAATGTAATGAACCCAAATTTAGATTAAACACTTTAGAATCACAAGTCTGGTCGTATCTGCTTTTCTTCTATTATATATTGTATATTATATATTGAAACAATAATATACAATCAAAATCGCTCATAAGAATCATAGGTATACAATTATAAGTCTAAAGCATTCACATAAAAGTTGTAAATTCTTACCTCGTGTGGAAGGATGATTCATTAATATCGCCAGAGGACACTCGTCGTCGTCCAATATATACTCCTGATGCGCATTGCCACTCACATTCTCACTATTAACCTGCAGCATGAATAAAATATGATTTTTACGATATGATTGTGCTTTTAACAAGAAACATCTGATATTTATATTACTAAATCTGATACAATTTCCAGGAACTAGTAGATTAATCATATGTTTCGATATAGAAGTATATATTTTACAATATTCAATCTTAACCACCAATAGCAGTATTTATATCCAGCATATTAACATTTCTAATCCTTCTCCAATTTCCTTATCGTATTACAAAAATGTTCTTGTTTTATTATTATTTTGTTTAATTCTGATTAAATAAGATACATGAATATTATTTAACAAGTTTCTACTTTTAACTATGTATTTCTGTGTTGCAAATTATTAATATATTTATTATTTTATTATCATGATCTTTCTATTCTTGTTTCTGTTTTTATCAAAATTATCTTCTCTCATATTAAAGTATAGTTATCAAATTAATCAATGTATAAATATACATACTAGCATTCTAAGGCTGCGTTTCGATATTCACTGCCAGTACTGAAAATCTATAGTGTACGTAACGTAAATTATATGTTTTTAGTACTGGCAGTTAATATCAGAACGTAGCCTAAATATAATTTAAAAAAAAAAACGAATAAACGACAATTTCATGTATATGCTAACCTGAACAAGGCAATACAACTGTGGGTCCACTTTTTCTAGGCCGTATTTTGCCAACATTTCTCGCACGACTTGAGCGGCGGAGTCCCGCACGCTCAACAGCAATGTTTTGTATGGCACGTCCTTGCACAACGCCTCGCCATAAATTTTCAATGTACCGCCAGTGTCGGGTCCACCGTCTTTGCTGCGAAATTGCTGGAGTTTCCTTTCAAGCTTTTGTTGGCGACGGCGTCTCATCACCGCTTCCGGATTCGAAATGCTCCTTGTGAAACTAGTCTCGGGCAGTTCTGCAAATGATAATATCATCGTTAGTACCAAAAGAAAAAAAAACATATTCGTATTAGTCAGTAAGTAACAATTAAAAAAATCTTGATTTATCACGCTCATTACTAAATAATCATCGACAATTGAAGTAAAATAATTGTGTCTGACGTATCAAACTATTTTTAGACTTTTCATTTATCTGAGAGGAGACAATAAATGACACAATAAAAAATATTAGAGAACATGATCTAAAAATATTAAAATTAAATGCAGATAGATTTCAAAGTAATATTTTTCAGTCGCACATTCTCCAAAGAATTTTAATTCGTTTATTTAATTCTTTAATGATTTTACACAAACAGTCTAAAAATAACGTTCGCTAACCCGTATAGAGCTTTTCGGCGACGCCGTTCTGATCGCCAGGCACAGCGTTTTCGTCTTGCTCCAAGCTCTTCAGCCGACTGAGCTTCTCTTGCTTTTTGATCTGCTTTTTCTCCCGCTTGCTCAGCTTCCTTCGAAAGCTAGAACCCTCGGCTGAAGTAAAACCGACGCCCTGCGCATTGGTCTTGTCGTCAATTCTTTTCAGCAAGAAGCGTCCTTCGCGATCATCTATATGCCAATTTAGTTGAACCAGCAACGGCTTTTCTTCCAACCCAAGCTTACGTTCTTCTGTAAATAAAGAAAGTTTCATTATACGCGTAACATATCATCGCAAAATAAAATAAAACTATTAAATAATAAAACATTGAAATTAAAATGATTCTTTTTAACTCAAAAAAAGATCAAGATGTTAATTCATATATATAATTAAACATAAAATTTATATATTAGCATAATTAAAAACACAAACATAATTAATAAAGTAGTTGACAGAAATATTTGTGTGTGATATTAATAAATATAACAAAATTTAATTTTTGGAAATTAATTATATTGAAATACACATACACTTTAGTATAATTTATTTCTTAATTTAATATAATTATATATATTATTATAGCTGAAATAATTACAAAGTTTATAATTATATGTATAATTTTAGCTTTTTATCAAACATATATAGTTTTAGTCATATTCAAACTTTACTTTTACAATGTAATATAAATTGCAATTTGATTTCACTCACCTCCATTCTCGTGAATCTCGTAAAGGGCATATTCGGGGACGGACAACATTCTCATATCGGGACGAAATTTTTCTATGAGCGTTTCTATCACAGCCTGACTGGTCGCATCCGAGGCAACTCTGATGCATTTGGTAGCGACCTTCTGGCCGCTATCTTGGAAGTAGAATCTCATTACACCATGAAACTCCAAATCCTATTGGAAAAAAAAATAGAGTATAAATGAAATAAGCCGGGCGAACAATAATATTGTTCAATTAAAAATTTAAGTGATTGCAAAACCGTTGCAACACTCACCTCATTAGGTTCCGAAAGTTCGAACAGGTCCAAACGATTGGCATTCCACTGTTGTATGACCCCCCTGAGAGCCTCTCGCTCTGCTTTCTTGTTCGCCAGTTCCGTTGCCATCCTGAAAAACATAATGCACAAGCTATATACAATTGCAGGTAACCGACACTGTAGAAACTATAGTATGTGATCTGTGTGTGTGTGTGTGTGTGTGTGTGTGTGTGTGTGTGTGTGTGTGTGTGTGCGCGACGATTTTAGAGGACATAAACCGTAGAAATTTTGTTTTTTTTTAAGGATCAAATAAAAAATAAACGAATTTCAATCAAGGTTCCAATATTCGTATAATCAATCGAATGACCATAAAGTTTCGCCTAGAAAATAAATCTAAATCTTTGAAAAACGCTTAAAAAAAAATTTAATCAAATCTACTTTCCGAAAAATGTGTGTGCTACTTCGCTGATTTTGTTTATCGCCCCTTTTGGAATTTCCTAAAGCCGTCCCTAACTGCCCAGCATCGTCCGTGTTGCGATACCTCGTCGAGATAAATTATCACGGCAGAAATAAAGTACGAGGCGTCTGTTCGGTACGCCAGGCTACCCTGGAGTATCACGTTGTCTGTTATGATTCTCGCTATGCAGCACGAGTGTCCGATGCATGCAATGCATCTAGAAACGACGCCTTCTTGAATACTACGAACTATATAGGGTGTTCGGGAAAAGATGTATAACATCATTGACACATTCACGCAATTTCCGAATTTGACTACTGTTCGACTACGTCAACTAAGCGAGATTAAAGTTAATCAAATTTAACTCGTGTTTATCTCTTAGTTAAATTGCTAACTAAAGAAAACAAATTTTCGTTTAACTTGAATTAATTAACAATTTTTAATTAGCTAAAGAGATTGAGTATAGCTTTATTTAGTATAATAAGTAGCTTATATTAATCAGCTAAGGTTAAGGCGCTTATCAAATAAGTTTGACCAACAATGTGTGTGTGTTAATTAACTTAAATCGTAGTTAAACGAAATCTGTCTCGACCGAGCCTCCGGAGTTTCCGGACGATCCTCGAGGGGCAGTCACGTGCCAAGCATTCCTGTCGTATCTCTCCCTGCCCCTCCGCTCTTCTCAGCACGTCTCATGTCCTCGATCTTAAAACCTTAAAAGCGCGTCCACGCATTTCTTTTAAGGGTTCGCTGCACCGCCTGCATTTTAACCCTCTGACGCATAAGTTAATTTTTATCTTATTTATATTAAATTGAAATATAATTTTATTTCGCTCACTCGCATAATATAATTTAAATTATATTAAAAATTATATAAAAAATGCTATCGGACAATCGTATTTAAAAGTAAAATGAGATTACAGGCTGATATCTCGAGAGATGTATAAGCGTAAAAAAAAAAACAACTACAAAGCTTACGAGATCATTCTTAAATTAGAAGATATATCTGGGAGAGCAGAGTCTCTAACGAGCTCTTTGGACGAGAAAATTATGGAATCGTGATTCTAGGCCACCTCTCTCTATTAAGATTTAATCGCACGATCGCGCTGCGATATCATTGCAGGTAACCTCGCGCAGATAAGTAAAACCGCGATGACTCATACGCTAAAATATGAAGCGCGCGTCACTCGTTTGCCTTGCAAACTTGCGAGCATCGCAAGTGTGACGGTGCAATCGAGGGGTCTTTGCGACAAAATTTACAACAGCACATACGCAATTGCGATTTAAATCGCTGAGTTTTCGCACTACGCAATCCTCCTCGTCGCATCCTGAATGGAATCGTGATACGAACTTTCTCGATCGCCGAGTGCCAATCTCCCGAGGAGTGTCAACCTCATGATGCATTCAAAGCACGTAACGCGTCTCGCCTCGGCCGACGTAGTACAATCGAGTACATTAATAACTCCTGCATCCACGAGGATAGACACGCGACTCACCGATTCTCTTTGTTTCTTTGAAAATACGAAGTAGTCGAAGCGTTGCAATTAATTGCACAGTTATAAAAAAGATTGCTTCCGTATTTTTTTTTTTTATGCTGAATGATTTCCGTTTCCAAATTGCTTTATCACGTCACAATTTTGGGAAGTTAAATAAACAATTTTAAGAAATCAAAATTAATAAGTATAGATATCAAAATAAAAAATATAAAAAATATAAAAAATGTTCAAATTGTTGCAAAAATCTATGCATACATTTTGAATCTGTCAATTGTGATATTAGATTTATTATATGATATTAGTATCTATTCGACTAAAAACTCTTTCGTGCAATTTTAACTGCGAATTTCTCAAAATCGTGACGTGTGATGAAGCAAGTGATTAAGCGGAAACCGGAATCGTATTCAGAATAAAAAAAATTACAGGAAGTGACTCGTTCTAATCGTGTTCGAAAAAAAGTTACTTTTTGTTGGACTGTCAAGTGAAAAGCGTACGCTTTTAAGTATCACAAAGGAACTTTGTCGCAAAAAGTCTAAGCGTGAGCATGGCACATTATTTCTGCACCTGTCTATAGCACAGCTTACTACAAGCGTAGCTTCTCTTTCCCCTCCCCCGCTGTGTCCTACGCTACTCCGTTCCTTGCTATTATACGTCGCAAGAGAAGAACCGACAAGCATTCATCAGGTCTCCCGCGTCTCGGAGAAACGTCGGTAAACACTGGACACTGAAACGGAGGCAAACGCCTCGGTATCTGAAGGCCTATTTAGACGGAACAATCTTCCTTTTTTTTAAAAAAAATTTTTCACTGTACGTGCCGGCGCCAGTCCAGGATGATCAAACCGTTTCGTATCTCGAGGATGCGTCCTTTTTTCGAATGGTCGTGTCTTCGCATATCTGAAGTTTTACTTTGTCTCTCAATGGATCCTAGTAGTCTTGAATTTACAATGTACGGTTGAAAATTCCGAGATGTTCCACTATGTTTCTTGTTAAAATTTTTAATATATATTTTCATATAAATATATTATAACATAAATGTAATATAAATGTAATTCATTTTAACGATATTTCCATAGGAAACATACCAAGTGTGTTGAATGCTCGATGCTGATATAAAGATTCTATAATTCCTTTTATTCAAAATTGCAAATATTTCGATGCTTTTTCTTGTCAGCCTAATCGTAAGAAACGTGAGAAAAAAACGTGGTCATCCCACGAATATCGTTCTTTCGTTTAATCGTGTCGCTTCAAAGTGCTCCATTTTTATATTGTACTCACTCTTCGGATACCGTCATTCTTTCAGCCTTGAAGAGATACTCTTTTCACGTCACGTCACATCAAAGAACACGTCGTCGAACCGCAAAGTCAATTCTGCCACTGTGTTTTCTGGGAACGAAACGAACGATTCACAAATATTAAACGTAACTTTCGGCTCATTAAATTACAAAAAAATCAATATTTTCCCTGCTAGATTCTAAAATAAAATGTATATCATATATACTGGATTAGATAAAAAATAATAAATAAATTGTTTTAAAAGTAACTTTCATGAATGATAAACATCTTCCCCCTTCCTCAACCCAAGAAAAAAAAAATTGAGAATTTATCTTTAAATTATTCTTACAAAATTTTTATCGTCGTGAATTTTTGATAATAAAATTCTTTGACGAAGAAAGAGAATCGTTCTCATCGTTCTCGAATCTGTCCAGCAAAGAATTATACTCTCTTGAGAACGACACTAATCGAGGATAATCGAAACTTGATTCGTATTTATTAAGCTATGTATGTCTATTAATCTTTCCTGTCTGTAGCGAAAAGTTGCGACAAATAAAAATTTGTTAACAAACGCGGGAAAAGTATTATATGCACAATTTTCTCTCATAAAACTCGAGAATTCAAGTCCAAAATTCCTCGGAACAATGGCACATTCCGGCGAATTCCGGACTCCGTCGAGACTCACTCTGCTGAGATCCAACCTGAGAGAGGGCATACACACGCGGGTCCCTTTCTTACATCGAAATATTTTCTCCCTCCATTAGTTTTCCACTTTTGTACGCGCCGGAATTTATTTCGCGGCGGTTCCGCCGCTTTTCTTTCCGTTCGATCCGAGGAAAAAAAAAAAAAAAAGGA